TATAGGAAAATATTAGTATTGTACAAAGATCGTATTTTCCCTGAAACTCACTTAAAAGTTTAATTCTAATGGGACGAATGGTAGCGTAAGAACGACCCTGCTCTGCAAGTTCTAAAGCCTCACCATAAGTGACGTTTCTTATTTCTCCAGCCTCTTCCTCCTCGGCTCCGTCAGAGAAAAAAGGATTGTAAATCCTAATAGTATCTTCAACCGAATTTACAATTTCCCTAACCTGAAAGTTTGAAAGGTTTATGCTTTTAAGAACAAAAAGTTAAAACTTTGCAAACTTACCGGCCTCCACTTCAAATAAATCAAAGCTGACAGGATGGCAAGCAACAGGACGCAAAAGATGACTAACCCAATCAGAAGGTAAAATAGCCAAGTATGACCCGATTGTTTGGGCTCATACGTAACCATCACCCTTTCAATTGGCTCATTCATCTCTACCACCAACGGAATTTCCGGCACCGGACCAGGGAAAAAAACAGTGGAAGTTGGTGCGGAAATGGTTGTTTGCGTCGTGGAAATGGAAGTGGACACCTCAGTGCTCATCTCCAAGACCACTGACGAGTCAACGGTTGTATACTCAGTCACGGGAGTAGTTGAGATAGTTTCTAGAAGAATTTAGTACGGATTTTAGAGAATCATATTGATTACAAGAAAATCCAAAGACTCACTCGTGGAAACTGTTACGAAAGTTTTACTGGTACTAGTAGTTTTTGTCTTGTCCATCCCTTGACAGTACCACCACAGGGTGACGATTTTCTGAACTCTTTCAGTCACAGTGCCTCGACACCAGACTTGAGTGGTCAATGTAACTTTCTAAAAATAGCGGAAACTAATCATTTCTATTTCTTCCAGATGTTGAAAAGAAAAACCAACCTTCAAATGCCGCATCAAGACACACTGCAAGTTCAGGACCCGTCCGACAAAAATCACCTCGTCATTGTAATACGAAGCGTATCGAGCCTCGCAAATGTCTTCGCAATAATATTTATCACCAACATTTACGCAATCGTCATTCCACGCGGAAACGACAACAACCATCAAAACTAAACTCGCGATTTTGAACATTTTGCTGATTTGACTTGATTGACTTGATTTGATTTTTTGCGAGTTCGGTTTACTTGGGTAATGACGCGAAGCGATAATGTGGCTCTTGGGAAAAAGTCTGTGAAAAGGAGAACAATCGAATTTTAAAATTAGTGACAATTCTCTGAGTACAAAAATTGTCCTCAGAAAAATCACAGAGAAAAGCCAAGAAACCACCCGAATGGTTGGAAGAAACGAGACTGAACCGTTACTCAATCGATAGCGGGTCTCGCATATGGATAATTCTTCGACTGTTTACAGTCAAGTAGATCTGTATGAATTCCTGCACACCTCAAATGAGGGTGCTGAAAAGGAATCTGGCTTGTGAATATCGCGCATGCCTAGCGTGCGGAGAAAATAAGAGGACTTATTTTTTTT